ATTCATTATTATAGCATACCATTTTTGTTTCCTTACTTTTGGGCCACTCGGTATTAGATAAAACAAATAACATTAATGTCTACAGATTTAGATTTAAAAAAAATTCTTATTAAAATACCTAAAATAGTTAATTAACCAATAACCATTCTAACATCTTATTGATATTCCCATAGAGTTAGTTTATGTCATCTATGTTATTTATAAAGAATAAATTATTTAGATTGTTCGAATATTGTAATCGTCCCTCTTAAAAGGGAATATATTTATCTCGAAGAATTATTTTCAACAATTAATAATCATTCGATTCACCATGAATGAACATTAACAATGAATAAAGATGAGTTTATTGTTAATATTAATATATCGAGAACTAATTTTATGACAATTATATCATATCGAGATTTGCTTTTTTTCTAGAAAAATCTTTCGAGATAATCACAATTAAAATGGTTTTTTTTTCAATAATCAATATAGGAACTTATTGGTTTTATTAGAAAAGAGTTCGAAGCGTTTCTATTTTACTATATTAAACGCAACATTGTTAAAATGAATAAGTTAGATGATTATATATGAAAGCGAAGAAATCGGTGAAATAAAGTATTTATATGTTGAAGACTAATTAATAAAATATATTTCAAAATAAGACTAACTAGTTTATTTATTCGACATGTTTATTGTAAATATAAATATGATTATTTCAGGAGAACGAGAAATGCAGCAACAAAATGATAATGGTAATTTATTTGTTTCGTAGATATTTATCTTTGTTAATAGATATTATTTATTGTTAAATTGTTTTTTTTGCTTTCATTGTTAAATAATCTGCTTTTGTTTGTTTAGTCAGATTTAAATTATTGTTCTGTTCATCTTTTGTTCTCTAATTATTCATATTTGATCGATTAGAGAAAAAAAATCGTAGTATGGATTCTATTTATAGTTTAATATGTAAAAGAAAAAAATGTTTTTTTTTTATTTAAAATGATAAAATGAAAAAGAAAACGAAATTATTTAGGAATGGTTTATAATCGTGATGATTCTCCAAGAAAAAAAAATCGATGATCTAATACATTTAGCTGAAATATGTATTGAATTATTACTACAAGATAGTGAACATTATCCAGAAGCATTTAAACAATATAATGATTTATTAATTGAACATGAAGAAATTTTTTGGTCTTTATTTGCTGTTGATATGGAACATGTTATTGATCAACAACCTATTGAAAGTTGGGATTCATTTCCATTATTTCAATTATTAAATGATTATCTTCGTCAACATGGTATTTAAATTTTTATTTAAATAAATTTATTTATTTATTTATTATTTAGATACATTATCAAATGGTCGATTTCATCAACAATTACGTGATACATTTGCTCCATTAGTTATTCGATATGTTGATCTTATGGAATCATGTATTGCACAATCAATTCATAAAGGTTTTGAAAAAGAAAATTGGAAATCAAAAACGTA